AAACTTCGTTAAATATTACATTGATAGCAGCATTCTTACCATAAATAATATTGTATCAGGTACAACTCGGCAAATATTTAATTTATTTTTGGACTTCCACCAACTTAATTAAGAGTACGCGAGTATCAACATGAACAAGTCGGATCAACAATTAAATTGGTCAACTGATCAGCTGATCAGCTGATTAGTTGACGTTCGAAGCATTACAATTTTAATTCTTTTCTCTCAATACTTGAACCTCATTGGTCCGTTACCTGTGTGGATATGAGAAAACTATGCGGATATGAAATGAAACTATGCGGATATGAAAGTAAACAGCTGTAAAGTGAAACTTTTCAATTCTAAAAACTGGACTGAAATGGCTACTTTAAAAAACGGTCGTAGGTAAAAGATGTTTTACAATTGATTTAAGATATTGCAAGTTTGAAATTTGAAGTTGGCTTTGGCGTGTTTTATGTCTGGTGCCAAAAACTACTTGAACAAATCAGATAAAGCATTTTGCAATGATTACTTTAAAAGTTTGATGACAAGTTGGATTAAATTATTTAATTTTGGGTTATTTGCCAGCCTAGTGGCTAGCCTCTTGGACTTCAAAGCAAAAAAGAGTAAGTTCGAGCCCTGGATTGTCCATGGGAATTGTAGGGGTTTGGACCGCTTTCCTTCAAAGGCGTTTGTGATGCTTTAAATAAAAACTACACTGCTGTGCAACAAAAAAGAAGACAAACTAAACAAAGATGAACTGTGCCTAGGTACAAACAATTATTATGTTCTTATACGGGGTTGTTGTCAACCGATGTAACGGCCCTGTCTTAAAAAGGTTTCGTTTAATGTTACAGAAGGTATTGTTTTGGCTCTTTGAACACAAAAAAGTACTATTGGAAATGTCCCTAAAGTTTAAATGTAAATTTGGAATGTTGATTTAGAATGTTTATTTTTCATGTGGAGTACCGTTGATTATATATACTGTATTATATTTTATAATTGAGAGTGTGGAAGATAACAAATGTGTCATACTCCGAGGAGGAGTGTGGAAAGAGCTTCGCCAAGTTTGTACAATATGTTTGATTTTTGCAGATATCGAAATAAACGTAAACATATAATTTTACAAGTATTTATTTTAAATATATTTAATTTGTATATCCATAATAACATGTTTGAGAAACAGCGGATTTACAATGGTCCACTCAATGTTAGTACTGTATTGGGATGTTGAAACAGCAGCTGTGTTTCTTGTCCTTGTTGTTCCAGAGTTTCCACCTCAGCTGATAAATCTTCTGGAAAATATCAGCGACAAGACTTATTTAATACACGTTATAAACAATCATATATTTTACATATTAATTCATTCTTCTCATCCTATCTACAAGTCCAAAGCTTATTTTGGCTTAATTCATATTTCGCACATATTGATTTTCATAGTGAATTGAACAGGGTTTGCCTTACATTTTAGTTATAATAATTCATAGATAAGCAGCAATTTAAGAATATCGATATATGGTGTAATATTTTTCAAATTTACAGAACATAAAACATGAGATATTACTGCATTCTATTGTGCAAGAACATTTCCTAAGAATATTGCCTTCAGTTAAAATATAACAACAGCAAAAAAAGAAACAATGATACTAATTGTACAGTAGTTGTTATATAATAATGTAACAATATGCGATGATGTCATGTGGACTGCAAATGCTATTTAATGAGGGAACATGAGGATTCCGTACAAATATTCGCAGGATATCGTACGTAGCTCACCTTTAGATTGGTAATACCATCACTTAACAATAAATTCCAGATAAATAAATAAGTACAATAATATACAAAAAATACGTCCAGCAAATTTCAGCTGGTGTATGTCAATAAGACATAAACATCCCTGCTATGTCATTCGCTTGTTTTGACAGTTCAGAATACGTTACAAAAATTATACAATATGCTCATTAATCTCTCACCAAGGAACGTGTATTTCGTGGTATGAGTACACGATTAGCATACTAATTTAATTCATTCCCTTATTTAAACGTTACAAAATCACGAGGTATTTTCAGAACTCTATTGCCAAGACATCAATTCTATCTATGAAGGGTGTGGCACTTCTGTTACGCTAAATAATGCCAACCTCTATAACTCACCCTGTCGTTGATGGGCCTCTTGGCAACTTCTGGATTGACGAACAATAGTCCGGTGGCTTAGTGTAATTACCGTTACATGGCGGATAAAAGCATCAAATTTGGTATGAAGGTACCTTAAGGTATACTAATAAATTTTAGCCTAGGAGCCCTTTTGAAATTTTAAATATTTCCACACACGGCACCAAAATCCAAAATGGCGGACAAATACGACAAAAACTACCTTTAAAACAATCCATTCTCCTGTTAACTCCAAAATATAACTTAAATCCAACCAAGACTCTACAATACAAACCGGAGACATACTAAATTATATGAAAGAAATCTTATGTGTGTCTGTGTGTGAGTGGGTGGGGGTATGTGTGTGAGTATTTATGTAACGAAACCTATACTGGACATTGCGCAAAAATGGGCAAACCAATTTACTGCAAATTTGGTGTGGACTTTGTTAGTATCATATGTCAACATTTAGATGTGTTTCCTTTTATTTATCTATTTTTATAATTTTATTTTGTTTATTTTTACAATTTTATCTATTTTATTTTTTAGATCTACAGGGTTAGGCAAAAGTATGGAACTCCCCAGTTATCTTTTAAACGCGTTGCAGTAGGAAAACCAAACTCGGCATATATTTACAAAATAAAAAATTGCACTTTTTCTTGAAAGTTACAACTTTGTCCCAGCCCCCAGAATGGGGTATTTTGGGGGCAGCCCCAAATTTTCAAAATTAAACACCTATCATGTGACCACTCATTTTAAAGGGTTTATCAAGAGAAGTTGAATGGTGCAAACCAGAGGTCAATATCCCACTCCAAATCGAAATGGCAGCCATTTTAATTATTTAAGATAAGCAAGAGCAAAAGATTAAGTCTTGATAATCCCAGTTAACTTTAAAAATGTAATATTTTAATACTGGCCAAAAGGTGAATTATATTTTTTTATAAAGGTATGTAGAGTTTAGTGTTTCAGCTGTAACCTGTTACAAAGTTAATAAGGTATATTTCAAAATGACTGCCATTTTGATTAGGGGGGAATATCTTGGTGTCATACTGGACCCCACACTGTACTGCGACAAGAGGTAAAGTCTCAGCGAGGAATAATATCATCAGGAAGCTCACCAGCAGATGCTGGGATGCTAACCCTGATGTCCTCAGAACCTCAGCTTTAGCGCTCAGTGTGTCGGCTGCGGAGTACGCTGCACCAGTATGGAATGCATCGTCACATGCAAAAAAGGTTGACATAGCAGTCAATGACATGGTTCGGATTGTAACTGGGTCTTTGAAACCAACCCCAGTACACAAACTATCCTATCATAGGGATCGCCCCCTCCATCAAATCGCCGTGATGTCGCTGCCGACGCAGAAAGGACTAAGCAAGAGACAGACCCTCGTCACCCATTACACGGCCACCAACCTACAGAGTGACGGCTTCGGTCCAGAAAGAGCTTTTTATCACGGACACGAGTCCTGGATGGATCACTCTCAATCAATCGGGTGGCAAGGTGGGAGGCCACGTTGACTAACCCTCCCATACCAGCCAGGGAGGAACTGGCTCCTGGTGGAGGCCTTCATTACACGGTGTGGAAGACCCTAAATCGAATTAGGGTCGAGGTGACAAACATGCAAAAATGGGGTCTCTTACCAGACAAAGAAAACATCTTGTGCGCGTGTGGTGCTGTCCAGGATCCTGGCCATCTGCTGATCTACCCACGTCTAGACCAGTCTTGCACATTTGTTGATCTTTTACATGCGAATGACAAAGCCATATCGGTAGCTAATTTTTGGAAATGCGAAGTCTGATTTCCGGGCACGGAAAGTAAGTAAGTAGTATTAGGGGGGTGATATTGACTTCTAGTTTGCGCCATTTAATTTGTCTTGAGAAACCATTTAAAATGAGGGGTCACATGATAGGTGTTTACATTTGAAAATTTGGGACTGCCCCCAAATACCCCATTTTGGGAGCCAGGTACAAGTTCTAACTGTAATGAAAAAGTGATTTTTTTTAAATTTTATAAACATGTGCCGAGTTTGGTTTTTCCCCTGCCACACGTTATAAAGTTAACTGGAGGTGTCCAGACTTTATCTTTTGCTTGCTCATCTTAAATTAAAATGGCTGCCATTTTGATTAGGGGTGCGATATCGACCTTTGGTTTTCACCATTCAATTTATCTTGATAAACCCTTTAAAATGAGCGGTCACATGATAGGTTTTTAAGTTTGAAAATTTGAGGGGCCCCCAAAATACCCCATTTTTGGGGTTGAGGCAAAGTTGTAACTTTGATAAAAAGTGCAATTTTTATTTTGTAAATATATGCCGAGTTTGGTTTTCCTACTGCAACGCGTTAAAAAGTTAACTGGGGAGTTCCATACTTTTGCCTAACCCTGTAGATCTAAAAAAAAAAATAGATAAAAATTGTAAAAATAAACAAAATAAAATTATAAAAATAGATATATAAAAGGAAACACATCTAAATGTTGACATATGATACTAACAAAGTCCACACCAAATTTGCAGTAAATTGGTTTGCCCATTTTTGCGCAATGTCCAGTATAGGTTTCGTTACATAAATACTCACACACATACCCCCACCCACTCACACACAGACACACATAATATTTCTTTCATATAATTTAGTATGTCTCCGGTTTGTATTGTAGAGTCTTGGTTGGATTTAGGTTATATTTTAGAGTTAACAGGAGAATGGATTGTTTTAAAGGTAGTTTTTGTCGTATTTGTCGGCCATTTTGAATTTTGGTGCCGTGTGTGGAAATATTTAAAATTTCAAAAGGGCTCCTAGGCTAAAATTTATTAGTATACCCTAAGGTACCTTCATGCCAAATTTGGTGCTTTTATCCACCAGGTAACGGTATTCGTAAATTAAAGCCCTAAGCCACCGGACTACAATGAGGTCTCGTACCGCTGTTGCCGTCCGGACTGTAGGGGACATTTGGTGTGAGAGCATCCGGATTCCGGACCGATGTCAACAGGACACTTGGCATCGTCCTGGATACGCCAACAGTCTTGCATGTCGGGCACGGTGAACTGGGACCGGACTGTGTCGATGTTGTAGCCTTTCAGGGGTAAAAATAGTTATAGTAAGTACAGGGTGGGGCAATGAAAGCACCCAAATGTATAAGCAGTACAAACTCAATAATATTCACCCTGAGAATATAAATAGCACATCAAAACACAGCTTATCTTGTGTCATTTTAATTTAACAAAGTCATTTTTCCATTTCTTAAAAACAAAGTCCTGCATGTGACGTTTTTTCCTACTTGAAATTCCTTTTTAGTCACTTTAAAACCCCATCAAATACTCCTCCAGCATTTCTTCAGGAATCACTTTAGTTTTTGTGCAATTCTTAGCTTCGGCTCAAGCAAATCTGTGGGGTGGCTTTGAAAAGTAGCTTATTAGAATAACCCCCCCCCCCAAAAAAAAAAAAAAAAAAAAAAACTAAAAATATAAATAAAGAGCCAACGTAAAGCTTTCAACAACAAAAGCTTCCAGGCAAATCTCTTTGGACTTACTGAGTCACTTCGACTCACACTCTTTCAACATTTGCACACCCAACATTTGTTCTAAGAGTTTTGTGACACCCACCGATTATTTTTAAGGTTTAAGCATTTATCCTAAATAATTTTACCCAGTTCATCATTGTTTTCCAATCTGGAACAGTGTCATGTTGACCAAGGATGGAATGTGGTCCAAACAATCTCTGGGTTTTTGCACAAGAAACACCATTTTAAAAATAGGTTTCCACATCAAAATCTCAGTGTTAATAGCCTCAGGCATAATATTTACTAAAATGGCATAGTTTAATTGATGTCATAAGCACAGCTGTTCTTTCATTGTTGCTTTACTTATAGTGTGACAACAAAAGAATATTGGGGTGTTCTCACTGCCTCACCCTGTACTATAAATACTACAAAATATGAACTAGAAGTTATTTTCGAAATAGTCTCTAAACCGACCTTCTGAATATTAACACAATATTTTTATCGGATTTCCCTACAGGGAAGTAGCTATTCCCGTAGGTGGCACGCTAAGACCTAGGCCCGGGACCGATTAACGTTTTCATCTTGATGTCCCCAAAGGCCAAAAACACCATTCGTTCAAATTGATATATATATATACGTCCGTGAGCGCGATAACTTAAGTAATCAACCGATTTTGATGAAATTTAATCTAAGGCGGGATGAACTTGAATGAGTTCGCAAACCATGGGATTTGACCATGGGAACGGGGGTTTTATGGGGTAAACATTGGTTTTTCTCATTTCTGGCCCTCAAAACACAAAAGTTCCCAATTTCTCTCTGGAACTTTTTAAAGAGCTTAAAAGCAAATAATTTAGCATATCAAAGTGTTTTTGTACGGTTATTGGTAACGGAGAAAAAAAATTGTAAATAATTGTTAAATTCCTATGTTATTCTCATGGAGAATATTGTAAAATGTTATATTTTGCTTGTTTATGGAAATATTTTGATCAAACTTGGCAAATTTATTTATTTTTTACTAAGCTATTAATACTTTACATATAAACACACTTTATTAGTTTCCTTGTAGCAGCAAACCTAGTTATTTGTTAAACCTAATGTTATTGGAAAAGATATAATTTAAATTAAATCATTCAAATGGAAATTCACTTAGTCAGCAGGTATGCTGTGGTGGTGGTATTATACCTTTTTTCACTATTGAGATTTCTTACATTCTTCTGGTTGCGTATCGTAAGCTTTTTATTGGATAGGGCCTAGCATCATGAATTGATGGTCCAAGTACAAGTGGAACCTGATTGTTGAACCGGTCTAGTATAGTAACCAGAGTACTTGACACCAGGTCTTGGAGATTCATGATAAAATATTGTATCTAACAGTGATCTTCAATGTCTATTGTGCATAGAATTGCTAGCCTTACTCAGACATTCTGTGTTATCACTAGGCTATATGTCTACCTAACTATGCGTTAATAAGGCCCAGGACCCCTCTTTAAGGTGGAGAAAACTTGTTCACTATCTTTTTTATTGAAATTTCTCTCTCACCCCTTCTCCACAAAAATCCACTTGAAGATTTTTATCTAAAGATTTTACCTGGTTCAAATGTTATGCTGAAGTTGAGTGTAGAAGTAGTGTCGATTCCGCATGGGTTCTTCACGTTTCCAGATACATATTCGATAACAAAGCCATCCTTGTCTGAAATAAGTTTATCTATAATAAATAAGTACTAAGACTATTTAATCCAAACTCGAAAATAATACTATTTTTGTTCGACCATTTTGAACTTTGTGTCATTCGATAGGAAGTTTTAAATGTTAAATAAAAGTGTTCTAAAAATATTGTTCATAAAATTAGCAATGTTTTAGCAATTTCAATTTGAAAAATTAAAATGACCGCCACTTTGAAATTTTGTATTCGATTAAGATATTTTTTTCTAACATTAGCGTGTAGTAGTTAAACATAATTACCAAGTTTCATAATGTTTTCTTAAAAACATTCAAATATTAAAATGTTTATGTGAAAAAAACAAAATGGCTGATATCTGATAACAAAGCATTTTGGAAAAAATTGTTGTACTTGAGGTTCTCTTTATTTTGAACCGTAGGACGATTTTCCGGAGTTTGGCAGGTTGCCTACGGGACACCCCGTGAATATATATACATTTAAGATATCAAATATATGTGACAGAAAGTTTAGAATATTCTATTTTTGTAAATAAAAATATTAACTCACCAACCCATGTAGAAGGCTCCATGCAACCGTTTATCTTCACATTTTTCACCTTACATGTGAGTGATCCTGTGAAAAGAATATGTCGGCAATCATAGCATTTTAAAATCATATTTTAAAAAGGTATTACAGAATATATATATAAACCCTAGTATATATATGTACCCTTTATATACCCTGTCTATATATATATAAAATCCAATGTATGTTTGTTTGTTTGTTTGTCCTTTATGGACTCCGAAACTGCTCGACAGATTGTAATGAAACTTTCAGGCATTATTAAGCATTATTCAAGGATGGTTTGCGTGAAGTTTGGTGCAGATCCGTCAAAAGGGCTCCGCCCCAGTGGTGCTGGAGTTTCCCATGTTAACCTTATGAGTACTCATATTTAAATGGAATTAAAAAATCTTAACAGCTGGTTCAACGAAACAATTTGATTCTGTGATGTTCACTAGCATTAAAAAGTTAATAGGTTTACCAACAGGGTGCAGTACTATTATTTTTTTTTATTTATGACACCAGCTAATTTGCAACCAAAAGGTGAGTGAGCGTAGCAAAAACGAACTTCAACCAGGACGTGATTGAGCCATCCGAACGAGCTCATCTAGGAAATGAACGATCATTGACATAAAACCACATTAGGACGGGACGACGTCTGTCGGGCCAGCTAGTATGACCATAGATAAAACATACTCCCCCAAAGTAGATTTCTCATCCTTATGGAACAGCTGAAGACAATTTTATTGTTAGTTCTGTAAGGTTTCTGTAGAGGTCGTGTTTTGTTTACAATTTGTTTCCCGTTATTACAGTCATTTAAAACCTCGTTTAACCAAATAATACGATCTAATCATAAACTATAATTTGTCTCCTAGTTATATAACCAAACAGTAAAGCACAAATCAAGAAATTAACCCTAAAATAATAGAAACAAAATTTTGTCGACACTAGCGCGAGCCGGTGTCACCGTACATGAACTAGACACGAAAGACGTGCGTCAAAATGTACAATGGGATGACAAGTCTACTTGTGTTGGTTTATGGCATAATCAACTTGTTTAGTTGAAACAGCTGACAAAATTCTTAATTCATTTAAATATGAATCTCATAAGGATAACATGGGAAACCACAGAGATACTGGGGCGGAGCCCCAAAAGATTTTTAAAATAAGAATAAACCTTTATGATAATCGGGGATATGAGCTTCCATCATGCCAAATGTCAGCCCAATCGAATTCGGTAATGCGTGATTGAACCCCATACAAGCAAACACACAAACATTCACATTTATAATATTAGTATAAGTAACATATTAGAGTTAATAGTTTGGATGAGCCTTGAAAAGTAAAGTTGGAAGGGAGTAAAATTGGCACTTATCTTTTGTAGGGAGTCAGCAAATCGTATATATTCGTCATACCCTCTACAATAAAATATAACTCCGATAAAAAATATCTATACAAGTGATCACTTAATCGATCAATTGTTTTCAAGTTATGCATGTTATTTATTATATTTCTTATTTCTAAGTGATATTTTTTATACCTTTTTATATCCTTAGTTTAATCCAGAAATTATGTCTTAGACTTTGAGCTTTACGTAAAATCGTGATAGACTTTGGCTTAAGTTTTTCATACTCTTAGAATCACATGAGTTATATTAATACTGATAGTTTTGTTAAACTGAATCATTGCCTAATAATATTTCGAAGTTTCGCAAATGTCATGAGACTTGCTTTTTTCACTTGCCAGTATTTATCTGTAACTATTGGACTTACCGGTACCGGTAGCAGTTTTGCAGTTTTTAAACTCGATTTCCCTGTAAGCCACCACAGAAACTACCATCACCAACAATAATCCCACTTGAACCATCTTGATGTGTCAACAACTCCGCACTGTTCCTACTGAGAGGTCATCAACAGAACTAATCTCGCGAACGAGTCCTTCAAGCGAATAGTTCTCTGCCATCCGTGACTAACCAGATAACCTCGCATTTCCCAATCGTCACAATCGGATGCCGAGGCTGCAGTTTTACAGGAAATGGTTCTCAGTCGCAATTGTGTTCGTGAAGTTTATGAATGTAAATATATTCATCGCATTTAGAATTTTGAAGATCAAAAACAATCATTAAAAAAATTACAGATAGCGATAAGTCAAGATGCAATATACTTTTATGATAGCACTTAGATTTTTTGTACTTCATGTTTCATTAACTTTGAAAACTGTCAAATTCATTTCCTACTGGGTAAAGAACTGATAAAACTTTCGTGATGGTTAGTTTAAGTAATGCATTTAGTTCATAGTATTAACGTAGCATGTGAAAGACTACAAGTATTGGTGGAGATGAATAGAATCGAAATAGAAAAGTGGAACACGAAACTTATAGCTACCCTTTCAAATTAAAATTATCAAATCTAAGCTAATACTGACGATAACGTACAGGCTAAGGGCAAATTAGACATTTACCGACAATACAAACATGTAGTCCTACTCATAATTTGTTCACATGAAATATGTATATACTATAATTAAGTATATGATATAAAGCAATTAAGCGTAGAATTGTAATTTTTTCTGAAATAATTGCAATCATCTTTGACTCTTCAACAAACCAAATCTTCTGAGGAAGCTTCAGAAGAACGACTCCTGGCCCACGTGACTACCAATTGGCTTAATAGAAAAGACAATATGACCAATTATTGGCTGAGAGGCGCCTGGTGGTGTTAAGTTGCGACGGAGTTAAACAGACAGCTGTTTTATTTTTCACACGTTCCGTTTATGCATTACTTAAGTAATAGTTGTTTAACATTTACATTTTGTCAAAATATTTTCATAAATAAAACTCAAGAATTGAGTTTTGCAAAAATTATTGTGCATTTAAATAGGGTTAGATTCTGAGACAAAACCAATGATGCAAACTGTTTTGTCATTCGTTTACAATCTGACTGTATTTAAACATTCAACTGTAAAATCAGCTGTTCACATTAAAATCCAAATCCATACCATTATAACAAAAATTGGTCAGCATTACTCTGTCTTTTAAACTCTGAAAAAAATCCAAAGCTAGAGGCAAAGTCCTAGAGCAATGATCTTACATTTAAGATTCGTGCATCCGCTAGATCATAAGCTATAGAACGATACCACAATCGCAATAAACGGTTAACTAAGATGACTGAGAAAGGGATGTAACAGCACAAAATTGTGTGCTTTTATTAGATACGTATTAAGGCACGGGTATGCTTTAAAACAAGTTGACAACACTGATATGCTGGTGCAGTGTTTATTTGTCATTTAATTTGACCATTGATAGACATACAACGGATTAACTTATAAACCTGTTGTTGCGTGATATCTAAATCATCACAAACCAAAAACTATAGCCAGGTTTTGATTTTTATTTATATTTGTGAAATGTAATTTTGATTTCCATTTGCTAACTTGTGAAACAATTTTTTTAGGGATTGTTTTACCTATTTATTTAAATCAACGGATACAGCATTTACAAAATAATATATGTTTTAGGCGCGAGAGCAGAAGGAAATTATCTAATTGCATTCATTGCAAAATCTGTGAAACTTCATAGTTAAAGTTAACCTGTATAAACATACAATTACCTATTATTAATGTTGTATAGTAACTGTAGGAAAAATATAATGTATAACAAGCACAAAATCTCTTTGCGCACTTGTTACACAAATAACTATTTAGTCCCTAGGAAGTAAAGATTTGCTGTTTTAAACTTTGATTGTAAGCTATCCGATGTATCGATAGTATGTATCGAATGTTTTAATCGGTTATAGGTTATTGTTGCTTCATGTGAGACATATATATATATATATTACAGGAACTCAATCATTATTGAATCATTTACTAAGCTCCTGTTTTTTTGCATTTGCAAAATTGAAAGCAATTTGGAATTCATTTTGATTGGTTATTATAATTCGTCACTAGGTCAAAAAGAGTTTTTTCAACCCGTCGAATAATTTTCCATTGAGCTTGGGTCGAAAGCACATACTTTACGCCCTAGTGATGAAATATACTATTGCAGTCCTATTTATATCATCTGGCCAACTAATTAACACAGACCAAATATGTAAGGGTAAATGAAATCAAATTAAAACTAAAACTTCAAAATCAGCTCAGTTTCAGCTTCGACTCTAAAGAAATTCACAAAAGAATGAAACTGTTACGATATTTTCTATATGTTCTAGTGTAAACATCCACGATACCAAATACCAAAGTATGAAATCGTGGTTTGCTAACTGTTAAAAACACTAAAATACTTTTTGACGACTAAAATACTTGCGACGATACTCTTTTGAAAATAATGTTCAATCCAATAGTTTTGTCTATAAGATCGAAAATGATAATCAAAAAGTTAAGTAACGTCGTACGAAGATTTTAGTATATTCATTATGTAAACTTTATCACTAATCTGATTCATGTAAGAGAAGAGTCAATGTCCAAAAGTTGTGTAATTTGAGCTTGAGTATAATATAGCCGGAAAGTATTTTTTGGGTTGTTTAAGAATATTGCGCTTTAAAACTTGGGCGAATCAGCATTGTCGAAACTTATTAATAAATAATGAAATCAATTAAATTAGTTATACAATTAATATGTATAAAACGATGTCTGGTTATTTATTTATTTTACCTATAAGTTCAAGTATATAGCATAAATTAGAACTGATTTGTAATACCACATATTTGTGTACAGTTTAATGGTATATTTCAGTTACAAAACCCTCTCGGTCCGTGGTACGAACACTATTTATCACCTCGTTATACAAAATTGATAAAACATATACAATAATACACACTAATAGTCATCACAACTCAAACGGAAAGGTCACGTGAAGGGATCAGCAGAAATATTGAATATAAAAATGGTTGCATGAAAGCTCAATCAAACAAGTCTATTGCAATGCACTGATTGTGTATTTAATATGTGTTTTCACCACACTATGATGTTTTTACCCGTTTTGCAGACGTCAAAATTGTTGGCTGAAAGTTACGTATTGGCGATGTCAGCTGTCATCGTCATTTATTTAGGGACCGAGCAGGTATTTACATCCCTAGGGCCTAAAATCAGCTGCCCGCTTACTTTCTTAAAACACGAATGCATATTAAATACACAATCAGTATCCATTGCATTGCAATAAAATAGTTTTATTGTCACCGCTGCCTTGCAACTACTTATTATTATTTTTGCTGATTCATCAAATTATTTCTTCACAAAACCTTAAAGTTGTAGTTCTCTTGACTATCAGTGTGCATTGTTATTGTGGTGAATAGTGGCAATAGGGTAAAATAGTGTGGTGATAAATAGCGTTCGTACCGAAATGGTTTTCGGCCCTAGGTACGAAATATACAATTTAAGTAAACAGGCGAACAGCTGATTTTTGGCCCTAGGGGTGTAAAAACCTGCTTGGCCCCCAAATTACGAAGAGAGCTGGCATATCAGCCCCGGACAGCAAAACGTAGCGTTTAGGCTTCAATACAAACGTTAATTGGTGGCTGAAAGCTAGGTATTGCTGTCAATGCCAGCTGTCATCTTCATTTGGGGACCGATCTTGTTTTTAAATTCCTAGGACCGAAAATCAGCTGTTCGCTTATTTACTTAAAACATTCAATGTATATTCAAAACACAGGCTGTATCCGTATACATTGCAATATACTTGTGTTATCGTCACCGCTGCTTAGCAGCCATTTATTATTATTATTACTAAATTCTCTAAACATTTCTTCACGTAGCCTTGTGCCTTTTTAAAGTTGCTGTTGTGTTGACTAAGTGTATGTATCTCAATTGTGTATAGTGTGATGAAATATTGTGTTCGTACCACGGGCCGAAAGGGTTATACAGCACTGGAATGTTTTAAGTTCTCGACTTAGTTTCGAACTTAAAAAAACTATCTCGAGCCAGCAAAACCTCATTTTTTGCCTAGTACGAAATATACGATAGCATGTGTTACCGTAAGCTAATTTTAATTTTGTAATCATAATTTGCATTTTATAAACAAAATACTTATTTATAAACCTGTTTGATTCATATGGGTCAACTTAGTTGAAAAATAAGTTTTTATTTGTGAAACATAATCTAAACACTATTGCAGAAACAAGGTCATTTGACGATAACAGGCGTGGCCTTAATAATTAAAATAGAACGATGGCTGCACCAAATTGATAAAACACCTCTCTTCACCTCTAAAACCATTCAACGAAGGATTTCTATCCATCCTTTATAACACGTTATAAAAATGGTTCCTAAAAAATTAATGTAGCCTACACCATAAAGTGTAGGGTCGGGAAATTTAGTATAAAAATACAAAAGAAACGGTAAGATAATCATGATTGAAGGGGTTGCAATTTTATATCGGTAAGTTCAGAAAATACACAAAAGAATCGAGGAAATATCAACAAAGACAGAAGTCCAATGGCTCGAACATGACGAGCAAATGGAATGTCACTCAGATAGTCTTAGAGATTTCCAAACCCTGTGGCTGACATGCCTTCAGATACCCGGACAGCTTCAAAAAGCTTTGTATTACCAGATTGTACCATTTGAAGGTTTTATCTTAAATCATTGAACATAACATGTGAATAACAAATGTATAAATGTTTAAAACGGGATTGTTTTAAACCTTTTGGAAATAACGTTGTTACTTCTCAAAATGTTGTTCTGCACGGGATTACTTTAATATTACCCTTTTAATGGTTTGTAGTTTAGTTTAGTTTAGTTTTATTTCGGGCTGAAAGATACTTTAACAGGATCTGGCTCCAGAAATCAAAGAAGAGATTCAATGTTGAATAAGAGACACATGAAACACTCTTGCCTTAGTGTTAACACTTTTGGAGTGTCTGCCTGATATCTGGCAAGAGTATGACGAGTTAACATAAACACGGTAAAAATTGGGGGTTTGAACAGATTTTCTTGGAAAATCGTGAAACATTTTCAATGCCACTGCCATATACGTACTTAATTGATTCTAGATGGTAAAAAAGTTACAACTAGGATAGGAAGATAAAATAATCCTCGTAATTACATAATATAGTGAAAGTTTTAAAGATATGACATTACCAGCAGGTTCCGGCATAGAATAACACAAGGGAGTATGTTTTATGTATGGTATATGAACAAGACAGTAACATGCAATAGTTTGGGGTTTATTAATGCATTAGTTGTTACTCTTCTTTCATTGAAGTTTTTAGTGATAGTAAGTTTACATTATCGAAATTACAGAAATGCTATATTTAAGATTTTGTTAAAATATTTATTTCTAGATTCATTTTAAATTCAGTGTAATGGTTGTATTAAAACTAAGTGCTAAGATAGTAAACTGGTATGAACTAGTGGTCAGTGTACAAAGAAAAATTAATTGTTGGCAAGAAGTGGAATAAAACAGTTATTTTAATACTGAAAGTACATGATTTACAAATTTCAATATCATCACGTTGTTTGGTGACACATACCGTGTGAACTGATTACAATACTTTAATTACAAATATATAGGCATTTCTGGATATGAAATTTTCCACATAATTTATACATTGATAATTTATGATTACATGATGTATAAAATAGATTGATAACTATTTGAAAAACGTGTATGATTCAAAATCTTACGCAACTACGAAATAACTATAACCGAACATGTAACAAAATCAACCAGACGGGCAGATCCAATCATATTACGAAATTCAAAGGAATCAAAACTGAATCTCTCAGGTCAATATAGTAAACGTATAACATATAATTAAAATGTGTTTAGCAATAAAATTAACAAACATCAGATAAGTTAGGTACTAAAGTCATCACCTTAGGGTCAAAATTCGTATCAGCTAGTGATAACATAAAAAAAATTATATTTTGGCATTACTCACACTGGTTTTATTTTCCTAGCAATCTAAGAAGTAAACCTTACTCCATTCTATAATTTAAAAAGAAAGTCTATAAACGATTGTGCCATGGATACAGTTATAACTTTCCTGTACGCCTTACTTTTCCTTTATACAAGCTGAAATTTACTGGTAAAACTTGTAAATATAAAAGATGTATTTTGTTAAAATCAATATCTTAAATTCTCAGAAAATGTCGATTTGTAAATGTCTTAGTGTTAAAGTCCGCTTGATAATTTATCTTTGAGCTTCAAGTAAATACCCATTCATCATATTTGTAACATCCATTTTATCTGAAATATTTGAAATAGTAAAAATGCAGAGTCATAAACAAGATAGGTATCAAAGTTCGTGCTTCTGCGTTTGGTGAAAATATCTGACTTGCACTGCAGTAAATGGTCATTACACAATAAAAGTATTGTCATCTTCAAAATGTTCTCGTAACTAGTTATTACTAGTACTAGTTAAAATACCAAAATATTTAACACCATTGTCTATTATATTGAGAGAAGAGTTTGCCAATACAGTCTTTGGAATGATGTGTTTGGTTATGTTTTGTTTTCTACATTAGGATTACCAAAACGAGTTAAATTTTTATTTTTACTCCGTCGGTTTGTTTGTTTGTATGTTTGTGTATTTGTATTTGTCTGTTTGTCAGGAACGCACAACTGACCATATCTTTTCATGTTTTCCGTTGAACGAATACACTGTTTCAATACGTTCTGCTTGTTATGACGAGAGAGATCATTTTTTATGTTTCCGGAATTTGTGTTGAAGAGACACAGTGTCTATGGGTTTCCGATATGTACTACTGGGGCCAAAGCCCTGATGGAATTTCTAGGAAACGTTTCTAATTGCATACCTATTTAGAGCTTAAGTGTAACCGTAACTTTAATCGTAACCTTTAATCATACAACAATGCAAACACACATGTTTTTCAAGCTCTACAGGATGGATGCCATGAAAATTGGGCTTTCCAATATTTTTGGGTAGAAATATATCTATCAATATTATAAAGAAGAGGTGGTGTCTGTCTGTCTGTGTGTTTGTATGAGCTAATCTAAAAAACTACTGAACCGACTGGGCTCAAATTGCACACAAATTAAGCTACAGCTCCGAGGTTACATATAGAATTATTCCCGCTTCGATATTGACCTAGGGCTCTGCCCCGTGGGCTTTCAAAAATCGGAGGTGAGAGATGTAAAAGTAAATATTGAGTGATGGTATCTATGGTAACAAAAAACACACCTACAAAGTTTAAAAAATGTACACAAGCAGAACGAACTGTCATATGAATTTTGAATTCACAATTCCACACAGCTCGTTCAAACATATTTAATACTGCACGAATATTAGAATAGAAATTGTATGGATCATCAACATATAAAAATTATGTCACTCTCCCGAATGTAAATATAATTTAACATTACTTATAAATGGGACTGACAAACCATGTGTTAATGTCATTAGTATAGGATTCTTTAAGTTAGGTCATTTGTTTATATTTAATATCCATACTGAGTCTGGTTCTGATATTTGTGAGATGCTGTAATTATATTTTACAGAGAACAAGTCAGACTCTTATCCTTAGTTTTATGAGAATTATTTTTTTAGATAAACTTTTATGTAAATAGTAATAAGATACCCCTGCCACAGCAAACCTACAGACCAAGCAGATATTTCCATTTGCCTGATTATAATTATTTCACAAAAATAAGTTAAAAAAATACACTGTTGACCGGTTTGGAACTATTGTGATATAATAGCTTTTCGTTTAGAGTACAAACCATTCAACGTGTTATTTGATTATACCTTAAAATCTATCATTGATTTTGTATCCTAGGAGCCTAACTTAAGTTTTCACAGTCTGAGTTAACAAAAATGTACACTTCATTTTCGTTTAAAAGTTAAATTATAGGTTTGAAACCATTTACAAAGAACCAACATCGTCTCTTTTTCATACTGACCCCGTTGAAAGGGGGTATAGCTGCTAGTAAATAAATAAAACTGTGTGTTTTCCCGTTAACATAATAATTCAAGTAATTTTGGCCCGATTTTTGTGAAGTTTTGCATGAAGATTGGGTTCACAGACTAACAAGATCGTGAACAGTGTGTTATAGGGTTGTAGAATTTGTTAAAACATGTTATTGTTATGTGTTATTGCTTAAAAATGGTTGTGTGTCACCTATTGATATCCCCAGATGGCATAAAACACCATCCGTTCAAATTAATATAAATATTTGTTAACAATTTGGGCGAATTTGAGTTTTTAACCTCTTGGGACATCAAAATAAAAAAGTAAATCGGTCCAGGGTCCAGGTCTTTCCGTGCCACCTACGACTTCTTCCCTATAGGAGAATTTGCTAAAATTAAAATAGTACGGAATCTATTTTAAACTGGGATTATCAAGTGACTGAAAATAAAATTTAAATTCAACGAGAACCTCTAGCCAAACATTCCTAGATAAGTTTTTACGATCTGTTCTATAGTTGGCAACCACGACTGTACCATGAGTCAAGAGAGTGATACACTTGTTCAAAGCGTGACCTCGCACTCTGGCTCAAACCGCGCGCCGCAATGCGCCAAAACTGAGCCAATGATCTGGTAGTAATCGTCAGCTGTTCAAAGTCCAGCTGGCCACGCCGACGCAACGAGCCAAGCTGATGCGAGGAGGAGATAAAACCAGCTGTGGACACTCTGGAGCAGTATTCTGCTACAACATGTACGTGAGAATCGCTCTAGTCATCGTGCTCCTGGCGCAGGTTCACTCCCAGCCGATCAAGGAGGAACGCTCCCCGTGGGAGATCATCACCCACCTGTCCACCGTGCCGAGGATCTTAGATGATGTGATTAGGAAGGAGACGAAGGTGGAGCTTCCGGAAGAGAAGAGTGTTCGACTACAGAGCGAACACCCGGCACAGAATTTGCAGCTTTTCCCAGATAAAGAGGACGACTTTTACCGACCCTGGAGAAACATCGTCTCCAGGATCTCCAGGTTCAAGAGGTCATTCCAGCAGGCTACCTCTGCTTGTGGTGGCTGGGGTACACCGCTGCCTATACCTCCGCCATGCAGAAGATCGTGATACTGATCTTCCCTCTTCCTTGTTATAGGTAAGTTGATTGATAAGTCTATAAGTTTAAGCCTCCATATGAGTTTTGTCGTATATTGACCCAATATATACTAAAAATAACCCCGCCACAGCAAACCTGCAGACTAAGCGAATTTTCATTTACCAGATTGGATTTACACTAAAATGTCTCCCTAAAATATCACATTTATTCCCTATTTAAATTAAATAGAATTAGTTAAACGAGTACTTAGGTTTGCTGCAACAGGGAGGGTAGAATATTGTCTTTTTTGTGAAATGTTAATAGTTTAGTAAGAAATTAATGTATTTTTTATATTTAATCAAAATATCTTCATAAACAAGCAAACTTCAACAGTTGACTTATTCTCTATAAGAATGACATAAAAATTGTAAATTGACAAGTTTTTTTTTAAATTTTCTCCGTAACCATTAGGCGAACGCTTCAATGTACTAAATTATTTATTTTTTAAGCTCTACAAAATGGTCAGGAAAGAAATTGTGAAATTTTGTGTTTTTAGGGTAAAAAATGGGAAACCCCTATTTTTACCCCATATTAACCCCCCATAAACCCATCTTACCAGAGTCCGATCATGCTAGTTCGCAAACACTAGTTTAAATAAATGTAGGTTTACACGTTTATACCAAATTTCATCAAAATCAGATCATATTTGAATATAATCTATATACATATACAATATATATAGGCCTATATTAAAAAATATATAAATATGTAAATATATATATATATGAATTTGAATGGATGGTGTTTTTAGCCTCTAGGGACCTGAAAGCGAAAAAGTAAATCGGTCCTGGGTCCAGGTCTTACCATGAGTACTACGGTAATAGTTTATTCCCTATATGGGAAATTCGCTTACTCAAAAAATTGTTCAATACAAATAAGCCTGTCATGGTTCGATAACGTAACTTTACTAACATGAAATTAAAATGAGAAAATATATCATTATTTAATTAGATGATTACTTTTACACTAATAATCAAGGAATTAGCTGCTTATGTTTAAGTTGTAATTGCTTATGTTTAAAAACATTATTCGCCCTGTTTTAATGGACTCTCCTCGCAAAGATTTAGTTGTACGGAATGAATTTTGCTGGACACCAGCTTATTATAATTAGCCTAATTTTTGTTGTTATGTTAAACCCTAATTTATTTTATAAACATAAATAATAATCATTGTAGGCCTATTCAAATTTGTAAATTATGGTTAATGAACTTCATTTTTGCGCATAACTGTCATTATAAAACTGCGTATACAGCTTAAGATTCTTGCACAAATAAAAGGGAAAATCCAAAAGAATATATAACTGCCTATATATAACTGACTCAAGACCGTTAATTTCTATAGTAAGACTAAACTATACTCCACCATTTTATTTTATATCAGAGTATTATTTTATTTTAATCGGTGTATTGTTTGTTTACTATCATTATTTAAACTGTGGTCATATAAAATATATGCCTAAAGAACTATTCCTATTTCATGTGAAATATGTAAGAAATAATACACAGATTAAGTGCGTAAAAACTTTAAGGTATTAAGTTCTGATAAAAAATGTTTTTGTACAACATTGTGTCGTCCTCTAACTAGACCTTTTGTCTATTTTATGAATTGGTTTGATAGCTTGAAGATAAATTCTAAATCATAAAATTGATTAACAAAAGCAAACATATACATAGGTACATGGTGATATTGGAGATATGAGCAAAATTAAATTGAGGAGGGATAAAACTCAAGATGGATAGAATCCGTTTGTTAGCCAATTTTATTATGCGTATTCTGCAATCATATGTGGATGTGAAATCACAATTTCGAAACAACTATTATACAGTACGTCCAATATGTCAACTAATTTTTCCTTACTCTAAATAGTCACAATCGTTGGAATCAATTAATTTTTGTAATAAAAAAAATATAAGAGATACTTGTATAAAATGCAGGATGTAAAATATTAACAATGTTTTTACCTATCTGTACTCTGTGTTTCAGACATAAAGCTGTCAAGGATCAACCATTTTCACAAGTTTGGAAGATACACCGTCCCGAGTATTACGTGTCTTATCGTCATTAAGTGTCATTATTAATTTATTTGTATATATTAGCTGTAATAAAACATAATTTTATACAGTATACATTAATGTTTACTCCTTTTGTTATTGGTCTAGTGTTGAGGCAGTTTTTAAACTATTAGATTTTCTCTACAAAACACAAATACTATTTTCACAATATTGCGTAGCCAACATCTGAAAATCTAAATTGGTGAAAAACTTTGAGTTATAGCATAACGTTTAACCTTTGGCTGACTGTGTGAAAGTTTCGATTAATTTAGTTTTTTCTGTAACGAAATTAAGAAAGGGCATCTATACTAAATTAACTTTATTTTAACTTATTGGACATGTTCACAGTTGCCTTTATGCAACAAATGTGTACCGTTGATAAATATACCAAGCTACAATTGAGTGTTTATGGATAAACCCATGCCTAAACATTGCCAAAGAGGAAAACAGAACTAAAACTTTAACAAGTCAGTTTTTTTACAAACGAGAAATTTCCCATTCAAAATTGGTTACGATTTTATTTTTTTAGGAAAGGTGTGTTTGTTAACCTTTTATACAACAATCTTTTTTACAACTAAATAACCGAATAATGTGTTAGTTTCCCTGCAAAGTGATCTGAAGGAAAGTGGTAATGGAGTTTATGTTTGAGTATGGAACGTGAAATAATACCCATAGAAGGGGACGGAAACTGGTTGTTCCGATCAATATAACTTATTATCTAGGGCCACCAGAACGATCATAGGGAAAGCCACGTTGTAAGTTGTACAATAAAATGTTAATTAGTGGGGAACGTACAAACATTCAATTCTAGGTGATGAATCTCACTTAAGATCAGTGTTTGATATTCAGCAGTATCAAACTTTACTTTCTCGAGATGGCGAGTACACTAGATACGTGGAATTACAATGTATCAGTGAACTCTGCCCTAACTATTTACTTCGAGTACACAGGAAAGTTTCTGGAGAAACTGTGCCACGTTTTCGGTTCTGGTGAAGATGTGTGTGGCTTGATGTTTATAGTGGCAATGTTGACTCATTACAACGTTATAAAACCTTCTCATAATCACCAGTTTATATAAATTAAAATTAAAATAAATAAAAGGTAAAAAGTCACTAACGTACAGGGCGTAAGAAATAAGCACACTAAAACAAAATATGTAGATAATCATTGAACTAAAAAAAGTAAAGAACAGTGATGGTAAATGTGATCTGGTCCCTACAAAAAACACTGACTCCTTTGAATTGGGATGGTTAAATTTGATTATTCACTACTGCAAATCTATAAATTTCGAGTAAAATAGAGTAACCGGGACACAATAAAGACTATTAACGCGAGTTGCGTACACTACTTTACCTACGACAGTTTTTTTATTACACACAATCTGGTTTTTAATTACTAAAAATCACTACTCATTACTTCTTAGAGAGGTTATGTTTTCGTTAATTGTCAGTGCTAATGAAAGGAAAGTGATGCAACGACTTATTGTATAATCAGCTGATTTCCTGTAATTACGTGTTTGCTAGCAGCATTCTTACCATAAATACTGCATCAGGTACAATTAGGAAAATTTTGCATTTTGTTTGGACAACTGAATGATTACAGTGAAAGAGTTAATTTACAGTTAGATCTCAGCATTGAATATTATAGAATATTCTAAACAGTTTGTTCTCTCATTTCTATCTCGTCAACTTTACTTTCACTAACTGACATTATTAAATCAGTTTAATCTACCTTCCTTTAACTTCCACAAACTTTGGTTAAGAACACGCGAGTCAACAGGAACAAGTCAGATCAACAATTAAATTGGTCAACTGATCAGCTGATCAGCTGATTAGTTGACGTTCGAAGCATTACAATTTTAATTCTTTTCTCTCAATACTTGAACCTCATTGGTCCGTTACCTGTGTTGATATGAGAAAAACTATGCTGATATGAAATGAAACTATGCTGATATGAAAGAAAACAGCTGTTAAGTGAAACTTTTCAATTCTAAGAACTGAACTGAAATGGCTATTTTAAAAAACGGTCGTAGGTAAATAAATTATCCTTATGCTGTCACAAGGAGGTAAGATTTGCCCCTTATCAACATTCTTAGTACATGGAAAATCTTAGCAACTGTGCTAAATCGAATGTAAATAAACAAAAAACTTTCAAAAAACTATTTGGATAATATAAGATCATACAACTCTGCATTTGCAATGGTGAGTTCATAGTCTCATTTAGATGAATCAACATCTGGTGGTCAATAACATTTTAAGATCCACGACTCCTTTTACCATCGAGTTGGACTGTAAAATCCTCAAACATTATCTTTTGTTGCTGACATTGTTCTCGAGGCGAAACTAGGGCGGTTTAACAATTTAGATTTATTCAAAGAGCTGGATTTTTTAAGATCAGTTCAATAATTTCTATATTAAAATATGCATCCAAAATCAAACAAGCTATACGACCTAATTTGAACCATCTGATTGGTAAAAATATTTGTGAACAAAATTTGCATTGTTTACAAGTTTATTTACTCTACTATTAATTGCTGATTATAAATATTTCTGAACTAGAATTTAAATAATATATCTTTGTTCTGAATAAACATAGAAAATAACAGTTTGTAATTATTAACTACGACCAAGCAACTAATTGAATATCGGTAATGCATGTTTCTTAAAATAAAGTTTATACAAGCGAGTTCTTTTTATTGCCTCGCCTTTAAATCCTACGCTAGGTACTAGCCGGGAACTGATTTACACATTATTTCAGGCTAGATCTAGAAGGTCGTGGCATTATAACGTAGATAAAATCAATAAGTGATTGGCGGGATTTGTACCCGGAACCTTCAGCTCCGATGCCCCAAGCTCTTCCACAGGACCACCTCGCTCTCACCAGTTCATACAATATAATAACAATACCAACAAAAATCCCACGATAGGGAAACCCCTTTATAATATACTTCACAAACTATGCAAAATATGATAAAATTATTTAATGGTTATTTCAAGGAGAGATAATTTTCGTCAATCACGTTACTGTACTAAGGTAAGTAAGTATTCATTTAGGGATCTTTAAAAATTAAACATTTACATATAAACAAAAATATAATATGAGGTTGATTTGATTTAACATTACATAGGTGTGCAACTGGTTTTATTACTGTAAGAAATTTAAACATAACAACATTCAATGTATGATTGTATGAAACTACCTTGATAAATCCACATTACGATAGCCTACATGCCAATGGAAAAATTTAAAACACATTAAGAAAACAATATCAACTTGATCGTAAGCCTAATTACTATTAGAAAATGTTAAATTTTTAAAAAGTATATAAAAAAGATAAAAATATAAAAGATAAACAAAATATAGTTAAACATTTACAGAAAATTCCAAAAAATTGTCACCAATTTAATATAAAGGCTTTTACTTCAAATCAAGGATTTTGTTACAAAACTAATCTCGTGAATTGTTTCTCGTCAAAATTAGGTTTTGAATACTACCTCTTATGTAAAAAAAGAAATAGAATAACTCTTCAAGTCAAAATATTGCACAAGTTCCTAATGATAACAAATTCGTGTACACGCTCTTGCAAAAGCATCAAAAATAGTTATTGTATTTTAAATTGATATCAGTTTGCATTCTCCATTAATACTGTTCAATAAACATAATATTATGTGTTATATATTTTTTTTACAAACACATTTTTGTGGCACTTATAAACACTTGCCATAATTAATTGTTAATTTTTTTTTTAATATCTCCCCCACACAAAGGATTCTCATAAGGTTGTATAAATGTATAGGAGTGTGTTTGTTATTTCCACTATTCTTACTATATTTGTTAAATTAAAACTCACTGTCTTGATGGATGACGAAGTTTTACAACTAGTGGTGGGAAATGTAATAAAAATTCCCTTCATTCTCTATTTCAAAGGATGGCTGCCAGTAAAAAGATGTATTTGGATAAATTTAATAAAATAATATATTATAATACAAATATAATGGATAAAATGGTTTTCAAATGTAAAATTCTTTGATTGACAAAAAATTGACGATCGACGTAAATCATTTACGTAAAAAAAAACCATCTAAAGTTGAATTTCAAATGTTTTTTTGTTTCTGGATGAAAGTATGATTTAATATTGTAAATGCTGATTTATTTTAGAGAGACGTCAGTAACATTAAAGCCAACACAGCTTTGGTAGTTTTCCACAGTTCCAAAACAAGTGATAAACCAGAACTTCAGCTTCACCTTTTTTGAATTCCTTAGATACCAGATCACGCCGTGGTGTCGCTTGAGTCGCGTGATGTTTGGCGCCAAAAAATAAGCACGAGGCGTCCAAAGACTGGTCTTAGATAAAATAACGAGGAAACCCTGAAATAACCTTATCTATATCACCCGCTAGTTTTACTCTAGTGCCATGATCAGGTCCATAGATCGTAAGTGAAACCTTTCTGCCGTCATTCGTCTGTTGAATCGCGCAGTGTGAGCTTCCCCTAGTTATGGCGCTGTGTCGGGGTGCCTTGGTCCTAGCTGGACTTGTGTTCTTGGTAATAGTTTCCTGTCATTTCATAAACTGTTCTCCGATATCTACCAGTAAAGAAGCTGTTTACGAATCTCCTGAAAATGTAGATTATCTTTCATCCAATGCTCTATTGACGTTACCTTCCACAGGGAATGCACATTCTTCTGTCCAACTAGAACCCGGAGAAAGACGTTACGCTCCGAGTTTAAGTGAAGTTATAAAAAGTATTCTTAGGTTCAAACGGTCCTGCTTAACAGGAGGTACCTGCCACAACTGGGGGATTCCACAAGTTTTGCCTTCTCCATGCTCCAAAAAGGAATGAACAACTGTTGGAGTGACTGGGGGTTTGAGTTGGAAAGCGCTTTTAAAACGAGTTGGTGGGAATGAATGTGTAAGTATATTTTGAAAAATGTTATTTACACCTCAAATTTACACAATTAAACCAAGAGTTTTTTTTACTGTAATTGTTTGTTACTAAATCCATTTATTTTAAGCTTTATCTCGTAGAGGCCGTGTTATTGTTCGCAAGATATTATTCCCTTTTCAGCACAAAACA